GTAGGTTTTGGCGATAATCCACTAGGAAGATGAATTTTGTTTAATTAATGTTTTAGGGTATTTTGGAGCTCAAAATCTTGCCTCGCATTAATTTTCCTGAATAATGCTTACCAAGCATGCTGCGTATAATTTGTATAATGTGTATAACGTATCATTGAGCAAGATGGCAACATTTCATCTTCCCTTAGCAAATCACTATGTTCGACATTATTGTCCAATGTGCAGAAGCTTTCGAACTCGGAGAGTTGATTTATTTTGAACTCGAATTCTGCCGTGGTGGGATGAATATAATCCATATTCATTGTAGGTGGGTTCAGTTCGCTTACAATTTCATCTGCTGTAACCGGTTTATCTCTTATGTTTTCGTTGATTTCACCGTATTTCTTATCCACGGCACACTAAACTTTCCGCGCATTTGTTGAATTTCGGACATGATCTGCAAATCCTCGCTGTCGTCTTCATTGCATTGTTAGTTCGCGAAATACGACGGAAGAATGTTCTTCTAGCAGTTTACCAACGTGGTTTGTGTTATGTCCTTTAGAATCAAATCCAAGCAGTCGAAACAATTATTGATGCTGAACTACTTTCGTGTATCCGCTAGTGAAAGGCCTTCATTCTCGGCTGTTTCCAGAATAAAACTGTAACTTCTCTTGACATACTTCAGCTTGAAATTTTTGATGATGCCTTGATCAAGGGGTTGAATCAAAGACGTGATCTTTGGTGGCATGAATAGGAGCATTATGTTGGGATTGCTTATGGTGGGTGGATTCATCGGAGCGTTATCAAGGAGCAGCAAAGCCTTGAAGCTAATGTTCTCGGCTGCGCAAAACTCCTCCAACTGTGGTGAGAAGCAGTCGTTTATACAGTCCTCAAATAATTCTTGGGTTATTCAACCTTTCTTGTTGCCACGATAATGCCCAGGGAGATTTACTTCCTGTAAATTTAGCTTTAGAGAAAACACATGAATGAGAACCCTTGTTTGTCCCCTTTCGGTCCCGGCATTGTTTTCAGGTGCTCTGAGACATAAGATCTTTGAAGAGTTTTTCAAATGGCATCGATTTCTGGCCTTTGCACGTTGTTCCCTTTCCGGAAATACCCATATTGTAGAGTATTTGACAGTTTTCCTTGAACCGATGGCTGCCATCTTGGATTCCAAAATGACGTCTGGCATCGGTTTTCGGCCTCTACACGTCTTTCCCTCTCCGAAAATACCCATATTGTAGGGTATTTGACAGTTTTTCTTGAACCGATAGCCGCCATCTTGGATTTTAAAATAACGTCCGAAATCGATTTACAGCCTCTCTACACGTCATCCCTATTACGTTTCGTGTCCTCACATTGCACAGCAACATCTTATATGGACAAGCTTTCCAGACATAACATATTAAGGAAGTTCATATGCACACTAGCGCCGCGTCATGAGAGAGTTCTTTACTAATATGACCGCTATCCGAAAGGACTTGGTCACCTGACCAACTTTGCTGAAGACAGCAACGTTCTATATGGCCAGGTTCTCGAGATACAGTTTATATAGGAAGTTTACATGCACACTAGCGCCGCGTAGTGCGAGTGCTCTTAAATAATATGACCACTCCGAAAGGCTGATCAACTTTGCTGAAGACAGTAGCCTTCTATATAGCCAGGATTTTGAGATACAGTTTATATAGCAGGCTCATATGCACACTAGCGCTCCAAAGTGAGAGAGTTCTGAACTAATATGGCCACCATCTGAAAGGACTTGGTCACTTGAACAACTTTGCTGAAGACAGTAGCTTTCTATATGGCCAGGATCACGAAATATTCTATGTTGGACCTATGATCCATATATGAAATCATTTTTTTTTATCTAGTTCGTTTATTTGTAAGGCTCAATCGCGTTAGCTTTACGCAGCCGATAATTCATTGTTCTTTGTTTGTAACAAAATTCACTAAATTCTATATGTCTAGTAGGAGTTGTGCCGAATACTCGCGGCTTACACGAGGTTAGAGGGATACATTGTCGAAGGATAGGAAAAGGGGAGGAGCTTGGGGGTAGGGTTCCGTTGTCTTATCAGAGCGATGTCGCCAGTATGAACGGTAGTGTGGTTCTAGATTCGTCTGGAGTTCGACCGGTTATGGTGACCAGTGGGCGACGATGAGACTCATCAAGACGGGGGACAAGACAAACGAAAACTAATAAAGAGATACAAAAGACAAACGAATTAAATTCTTATACTAGACATTTGCAGAAACACATAAATCGACTGCATATAGCAGAGATCGCGGGTACCCAACACGTCTCTGATAGCGATATAGGGTTGTCTTCCTTGGGCCCCGAGGGTATTCAAAAGTCGCTCTCTGGCGGCGTCATTATCCGTACATTTACCAAACTGCGTGATACGTTGAAATCATTGATATTATTAATTCAATCAAAATTTGTTGTTACTTCGTACGTGAAGTTTACGATTTTCAGAGTTGAGAGGAAATGCTGTTCTAATATCAACATGAAGCTTTAGTGTGATAATTGATTAAAGGGTGATACGGTCAAAATTTGGTCAAGGGAAAACGCGTGTAAATCGGTGAAATCGTTTATTTAAAAAATCAAATTAAATTTCTTTTTCAAGTTCAATTAGTATAAAATTCAGGAAAAATATTCAGTTAGGCTTCCGCTTTTCCAAATCCGAATTGCCGGGCCTTACGCTTGACCCCTGCCATCAGATTTTGTACAGCCACCTTGTCCACCTTCTTCGCCGCAGAAAGCCAGTTTGCCTTGAACTGCTGCTCGCCCTTAGCAGTTTTTTTGGTCTTCTTTAGGTTCCGCTTGACAATAGCCCAGTATTTCTCAATTGGGCGGAGCTCTGGCGTGTTGGGAGGGTTCTTGTCCTTGGGAACCACCTGTACGTTGTTGGCGGCGTACCACTCAATGGCCTTTTTACCGTAATGGCAAGATGCCAAATCCGGCAAAAACAGTACGGAACAACCGTGTTTCTTCAGGAAAGGCAGCAGACGTTTATTCAAACACTCTTTCACGTAAATTTCTTGGTTGACAGTCCCGGAAGCTATGAAAATGCTGCTTTTCAAACCACAGGTACAGATGGCTTGCCAAACCAGATATTTCTTTGCGAACTTTGACAGTTTCATGTGCTTGAAAACATCTGCTACCTTTCCCCTTCCTTTTGCCGTATAAAACTCCTGTCCCGGAAGCTGCTTGTAGTCGGCTTTGACGTAGGTTTCGTCGTCCATTACCACGCAGTCAAACTTCGTCAGCATCGTCGTGTACAGCCTCCGGGATCGCGCTTTGGCCGTCGTATTTTGTTTATCATCGCGATTTGGAGTCACTACCTTCTTGTAAGTCGATAGTCCGGCTCGTTTTTTGGCTCGATGCACGGTTGTAGACGATACACCCAGCTTATTTGCGGCATCTCGGAGAGAGAGGTTAGGGTTTCGCTTGAAACTACCGGCAACTCTCTTTGTCGTCTCAGCGGCTTCCGGTTTTCGATTTCCCCCCGATCCAGACTTCCTGGCTGTCGACAAACGTTCCCCAAACACTTTAATTACATTTGTAACGGTTGATTTGGCAACTTTTAGCGATTTTGCCAACTTTGCGTGCGAGTAGCTCGGATTTTCGCGATGCGCGAGTAAAATTTTGATACGCTGCTCTTCTTGCTTGGACGGCATTTTGACAACTGAAGAGTGAATTCCAAAATCAAAATAGGAGCAACATTCTACACACACACACACCTTCAAAATGAGGGGTGTTCAGGTTTTTTAAATGCAAAATTGAAAGAAATACGTCAAGTTGATATTGACCAAATTTTGACCGTATCACCCTTTAGCTATTGAAAGTTCTAAAAAAAATAGATTGAAAGTTCCGCTAGAGTACGGCATTGCGAAAATAAAACAGAAGTATAAATTGAGCGAAGGGGCATTAATGCGACAATACTAATCAAATACTAAAGGTACAGCACCCCTAATGGTAGAAACGGCCAACGTAAAAGACTTCCGTCTGCAGCCTAGGCAATTTCCCGAGAGTTCTTCGCTGATATGTATTTCACGTTTTGTTTTCGAACTACGTAGAAAGCTAGCGCTACCAAGGGAGTGATTTTCGAACTAAACTTGATACGTCTGGTATTCTTCACTCGCGGAGCTACACTCCATAATAGTTAAATCCACGCTGTAAACAAAACTATGAGATAATCTGTCATTTGCCGGTTCCCGGATTCATCCGCGCGCTCTGCAGACTGTGAAATCACATTGAAGCCGCCATAATCTCAAGAGTATAATACCCATTTCCACACATCAGCAAAATCACGTAATCATTGAAACTTGAATACATCCATAATCAGCCCAACCGACGGCGGTACCATTGTCGTTATCATCGTCATCGCCTTCGTCATCGTCGTCGGCCGGCAGGCTAATGTTTTGTTTATAAACATAAATAATGGCCACTCATTGGAAAACAAAAATAAAAATAAAAATCGCTGAGACATCGTAAGCGACTAGGATTTTATCGTATCTACCGCCATACACAGTAGCAATCATACGATGAATCCTTTCATTATCGTCGTCGCTACTGAAAGTCTCTGCTTTCATTCGTCGCTGTTCGACGTAATCGCAGGGTATGTGCACGGCATTGCATGATGGCGTTAAGCGCGTGAAGTGGAAGCAAATAAGTGCAGCTAGCATGACTTATAAGGTAATAAATATTAATGACAGGATAGTGCCGAAAGAACATGTACAAGTGCACTACACGAAAAACGAATACGAGTTCCTGTACCTTCAACACTCTGTTAATGACAGATTTCACCTGCCGAGTCAAGTACCTACCTATTACCCAGCCGCAAGGACCGTACAAAAAACTCCAAAATCGTGTTTGCACTTCAAATCGATGATTGATTGGATGAGTGACTGCGGGCAGATATGGAAACGACATCCGCCAATTGCATCATGATTCAAACCGCACCAGTAGTTGGTTTGGTAGTATAACTGACCTTCTCTTTCCTTTTCTTTTCTACTTCCAGTTCACCACCTCGATACTGTACGATCCGGCGCGGAAGAAAGAACCTTCGCAGTCATTCCAAACCGAACGTGATGCCTGTCTCTCCTATTTCGCCAAATGGAACGAAGCAGATCAGGTGGACTTTGTCGAGCAGCTCCTGTCCCGCATGTGCCATTACCAGCACGGACACATAAACGCCTACCTGAAACCGATGCTGCAGCGGGACTTCATCACACTATTACCAAGTAAGTCGGTGGCTGGCTATACGTATCGCACACACGTGGAAGACTGAACATTGATTAAGGGAAGATGTATATGAAGTAGCATTTTAGGGTGACCAGCCATGTAGAAAAATACGCTTCAAGGAGGAGGGGGACCAAAGGTGGTACTTCATGAAACGTATACAATCGCTAATGACCTGTTTACATACGTGTTGGTTCATAATGCTGATTAACCTAAATTGGTGTAATCCGAACAAGTTTGTACCAGAAATTGATGCACCGATGTTAACCATCACCGTAAAACTGTTTACATAATGCCATGGGTTTGCGACAAGCTTACCAGCACGTGAATCAGCACAAGTATACTTACCTTACCAATCAGGCTAAGGCCTTGTTGTCCTCTGCTGTCCGAATAAGTTGTCTCCACTCTACTCGATCCATGGCCGCACTTCGCCAGCCTCGTAGTCCGCAGGTCGCCTTCTACTTGGTCGAACCACCTTGCCCGCTGCGCACCTCTTATTCTTGTTCCTGTTGGGTCGCTTTCGAGAACCATTTTCACTGGGTCGTCGTGCGACATTCTTACAACATGCCCAGCCCCAGCCTCCTTTGAATTTCTCTGCTGGTATCATTTTCGGCGGTCACCAGTGCCAAAACGTGCGTTTTTTAGTTTATGCGAAAACGGTCCATTTAAGCCATATAGTGTTTTTGGAGAAGTGTGTGCACTTAAAAAGTCCCTTCTTTTGAGCTTAGCCATTTCATGATTAACCCACCTAGCAGGGAGATGAAAAATTTACTTTTTGTGTTTGTCGAGATAACAAAATGATGTCTTGAGCAAAGTTTTAGACAATATTAAAACAAACATTTTTTGCCCAGAACGTCAACCATCTACAGTGACCCGCAACGAAAAAAATCCACCTGAGTTAGTATCAAAATGTTTACTTAAACCTAAACATACTTCTCAAAAAAAGTGCTTTTATGTGTTCTAATAATAAATCAGGTATTTAAGAGAAGAAAAGAAGATGTTTTAATTCATTTATTCAAAAATTTACTTTTTTTGTAACGTTTTGAAAAAAAATCAACAAAAATGATAGGACAAGAAAAAAAATCCATTTCGTAAATTCGACACAAGAAATCGATTCCATATCGGGGAATTATTCCCAATTGTAATTAAACATTGAAAAACCCATCGGAATTAGTTTTGAAATATGTCAACATCAACACTCCGTCATTTGCCGCCATTTTAAGTTGTCCGTCACTTGCTTATCGCGGAAAATAGTTTAATCTCGCCGAAAAATCATGGATGGCAAATAAATTTCAATTTCCATCCGAAATTTGGTGGTAAAAGACTGCCAGAACAAGGTATCACAACGGAAAATTGCTGCAAAGTACAACATTAGCCGAGGAGCAGTTCAGGAGATTTGGGCGAAATATCAGGAGATCGGATCCGTGACTGACAGAACAGGTAGAGGAGGCGTGCGCAAAACGGATCATCGGACTGATACAATGATTATCCGGGAAATAAAGAAAAACCCTTCAATAACGATCAGGTCGAACAAGGAGAACCTTCAGCTTTCGATATCCGATCGAACAATCAGCCGCAGGATCAGTGAACAAGGTTTGAAGAGCAAATTCGCAAGAAAGCTGCCGTACATCAATGCCAAGAATAAGAAAGCACGTCTTGAATTCGCCAAAAAATATATCAATAAATCGGTGAATTTCTGGAAACGTATCTTGTGGACTTACGAGTCAAAGTTCGAGCTCTTCAATCGAAAACGTCGATTGAGAGTGTGGAGAAAACCAGATGAAGCCCTACAGGATCGACATCTTCAGTCTACTGTAAAACACGGCGGTGGGAACATAATGGTATGGGGCTGTTTCGCATGGGCTGGAGTAGGAAACTTAGTACGGATCAATGGCATAATGAATGCTGATGCCTACATCGATATCATCAATGATAATCTCCAGGAATCCGTGGCAAAAACTCGAGTAGGAAAGGACTACATCTTCCAATAAGATAATGATCCGAAGCATACTGCCAAAAAAACGAAGGCTTTCTTCAAATCCAAGCGGATCAAACCATTGGAGTGGCCTGCCCAAAGCCCAGATTTGAACCCTATTGAAAATCTATGGGCAATTCTTGATAATAAGGTTGATAAGACTAGTGTTACGAACAAGGACACGTACTTTTCAGCCTTATCTCGAGCCTGGAGCAGTATTGACCATCTACATCTGCAGAATTTGGTGGAAATGCATGCCAAAACGTCTTCAGAAGGTGCTTGAAGCTCATGGTGGACATACTGGGTACTAAAGGTCGCAAATCGATATTGCGATGATTTTTTTTTGTTGGATTTACGAAGTGGATTTTTTTTCTTGTCTTATCATTTTTTTTTATTTTTTCTTTCAAAACGTTATAAGAAAGTGAATTTTTGAATAAATGAATTAAAACATATTCTATTCTTTTTCTTAATACCTGTTTTGTTATTAGAACACATAAAAGTTTTTTTTTATGATAATTATAGTTAGGTTTGAGTAAACATGTTGATAATGATTCTGGTGGATTTTTTTCGTTGCGGGTCACTGTATCTCTTATGTTTACAGAGATATGTAATTTTTTGGTAAGAGCCTTCAGAAAATCAATTTTTTGCAAATAATTTTTCAGGAAGTAATTTTTTGACATTAGTATGTTCAACACAAATATTTGTTTTTTTTTTTAAATACGCCATTTTGGCTTGGGAAGCAAGTCCATATCTTCAATATTTCTTAAGATATTCCAGGTTTTGATCCAACATTAGCACTATTTCCAAGGTCAACAGCTCGAAGTTGGGCAAAATTGGGCAAACCAGATTGATTACATTTGAAAGTATACTTAAAATGCTGCTCAATGCATACCAAATCATTAGTATTCTTTAGTATTCTCTGCTGATCTGCTTATTACCAAACTATAGTAAACCGTGTACAGATAATCGTTTTCTTGCATTAGAGGCTCCTTCATACGTCATTTACTCTTGGTGTTGAGCAAAAATGTTTGTTTTAATATTGTCTAAAACTTTGCTCAAGACACCATTTTGCTATCTCGACAAACAAAAAAGGTAAATTTTTTATCTCCCTGCTAGGTGGGTTAATCATGAAATGGCTAAGCTCAAAAGAAGGGACTTTTTAAGTGCACAAACTTCCCCCAAGACACTATATGACTTAAATGGACTGTTTTTGCATAAACTAAAAAACGCACGTTTTGGCATTTTAGACCACTGTGCAGTGAGCCCAAATACACGAACTCATCGACCACCTCGATTTCGTCACCGTCAATCTGAACTCGGGATGGGAGGCTAACATTGTCTTCCCTAGAACCTCTTCCTTTCATGTATTTTGTCTTTGATGCGTTGATGGCAAGTTCAATCCGCCTAGCTTCAGCCTTCAGTCTGATGTACGTTTCCGCCATCGTCTCAAAGTTCCGTGCCATGATGTCGATGTCATCGGCGAAGCCAAGAAGCTGGATGTACTTCCTGAAGATCGTGCCATTCGTGTCTATCCCAGCTCTTCTGATCACACCTTCTAACGCGATGTTGAATAGCAGACACGAAAGTCCATCACCTTGCCTTAACCCCCTTCGAGATTCAAAGGGACTCGAGAGTGTCTCCGATAATCCAACAACGTACATCACTCGATCCATCGACGCTTCGACCAATCGCGTCAGTTTATCCGGAAATCCGTGCATAATCTGCCATAGCTGATCTCGATCGATTGTGTCGTATGCGGATTTGAAATCGATGAACAAATGATGTGTTGGCACGTTGTATTCGCGGCAATTATGCAGAACCTGCCGAATCGTGAAAATTTGGTCCGTGGTAGCGCGGGCACCCATGAATCCCGCCTGCACCACGAACTCTCTTGCAAATGGTTACAGGCGGCGGCATAGAATTTGGGAGAGTACCTTGTAGGCGGCGCTCAGCAGTGTGATCGCGTGGTAGTTGCAGCAATCCAACTTGTCGCCCTTTTTGTAGATTGGGCATACGACACCTTCCATCCACTCCTCCGGTAATATCTCCTCCTCCCAAATCTTGGCAATTACCCAGTGCAGCGCTCTAGCCAGTGCTTCACCACCGTATTTCAATAGCTCACTTGGTAGTTGATCTACACCAGTTGCTTTGTTGTTCTTCAGCCGACCGATCTCCTCCTCAACTTCTTGAAGATCAGGGGCCGGTAGCCTGTCGTCTTCTGCGCGTGCTCCAAGGTCTTGCCGTGCCACCCTCGTTTTCTGCTGCATCACCGTTGAGGTGCTCGCATTGTACTGCTTCCACCTCTCAATCACCTCACACTCGTTCGTGAGAAGGTTACCTTGCGGCACGTAGCCTTTGAGCGAACTATTTAGCTTCTCGTAGAACTGCCGTGTGTCGTTTACGCGGTACAGGTTTTCCATCGCCTCGCGATCTCGGACTTCCTGCTGATGTTTCTTCCTTCGGAAAACCGTTTTGTCTGTTCCGCGCTTGTCTGTATCGCTCCACATTCAATCTCGTGCGGTGTTGCAGCATTCTCGCCCGTGCTGCATTCTTCTCCTCTACTAACAGTTTCCATTCGCCTTCAAACCAGTCATTTCTTCGGTCCGGGACCGCAGTACCTAGTACCGCTGCAGCAGTACTACCTATGGCGGAACGGATGTCCCTCCAGCCATCTTCAAGAGAAGTTGCGCCAAGCTGCTCTTCCGTGGGTAGTGCAACACTCATACCTACTAGTGCCAATTGGCGCACACTATGATTAGGAGCATCAGTTATGGCCGCACTTTAAAATCATAATATTTAAAATAAAATCGTAATATTTCGAATCTTATGATTATTATTGAACTTTACTCATCACGATTGAGCATATAAATTATCAAAAAAAAATTAATTTGTTAGTTAAAATATCGCTAAGTAACATGTACGAATTTTAGCAGTACGTCTACGAAAGCGAAGCAATAATTGGAAATCAATTTTAAGCTGCTGAATAGAAAGTGTTTGAACTGAAATTCAGCCTATACTACAGAACTG